CAGTCTTCCTCAGCAAAAAGAGGAGGATTGGCAGCAGATGTTAGCTCAAGGCTAATCTTCATGAAAAAAAAAAGGAAAAGAAAATAGGGAAAGTAAAGTTAGCTGTTGAGGTTATTTAAAAGCATAGATTTTTCTTTTTATTACACCCTTCATGGCTTTGGGTATAAACCATTGTGCAAAGCAAATACAGTTGCTCAGTATAATTAAACACACACACACACACGCAATCCTGCCCCAGAGGAGAGAGGACTCTGGACAGGGGAGTTGTGCAAGAAGCTTGAATGTCTGTGTGTCTTTCCATTTGCTGGTTGGATCTTAGCAGGAGTGGTCATAGTTACTCAGTAACCGCCAGGCGCGAGGCATCCTGAGAGCATTTATGGTATTTTTTCTTCTCCTAAAATCACAGGGTCAGGGATGAACCTAGGAACATTCAGAAAAACTGAAGCCCAGAATAGCATAGCCTGTCACACACCTGCACCCTGCAGAGTCTCCAGCCTCAGCTCTTTAGAGCCTCACACAACTCTGTGAGCCTGGGGGTGGGAATTCAACCCTCGAGATAAGGAGCTGGAGGCTTGAGGGGTCACCCAGTGCTGGGGCCGAAACTCCAGACCCAAATCTCTCAACTCCAAAGCTGTGAGAGGCGGTGCAGACATGAGAGGATTAGAAGCATAGACGGGGCTGGTGTTAGAGGTGTGGGCCACAGGGAGAGCCAGGCAGACCACCGGAGATTGATAGAAGCAACTTGGGCAAATCAATCGTGATGTTAATAATGAGCTGGTAGGATATTGAACAGCAAAGCCCAAGCTTTTTAATGCTTTCCTCACCAGTGCGTCAAGTGTGGTGCTCCACAGAATTTCACCTAAGCCTCACAAAACCCCCCAGGATGTTAGTAGAGAGTGGAGTTACCGCCACATGATGACAGGGGCCCCAAAGGCCTAGAGTGGCTGAGTGATGTTTGAGGCAAGTCAGTGTCTTCTCCAGGGGATGCTGTGGAATTCTGGCTCCTCTGCATCATGCAGCCACCCAGCAGGGCCCAGAGCTTTCCCGATGATTGGGCTCTGACTTTGTCCCTCTGCTTGTTTCTTGGTCCTCCTTTTGTTGAGCTGCCAGGTTGTGACAGTTTGTGATTCCCTCTGCTCCAGCCCTTTGAGAAAGATGGAGTGAGATGCTTTGAGATCATCCAGGAAAGCATCCTATTTCCATAACACCACATGCTCACTGATCAGGGGGCTAGATCCCCCTTCATCCCCTGTTCAACTCCCAGCAGCCCTCTTCCCACGTCTCAGATTTACACTGAGCCCCACAGCACTCCGGTTTGCCTGTGGATCTGAGAATCAGTCCTGAGCCCCTTGGTAGAGTCGGCCAGAGCAGGAAACAATTTCTGTGACCTTAGTCAAGCTATTGAACCTCTCTGAGCCTCCGTTTGCCTATCCATAAAATAGGAATACAAATCAAGAAGGCATTAACTAAGGTAATTCCATTGTTGTTAGTGCAGTCAAATGGATTCTGACCTCTGGCGGCCCTGTGTACAGCAGAGTGGAACCCTGCCTGGTCTTTTTGCACCACCCTCCTGCCTTCCAGCACTGTATCAGACAATGCTCCACTGCTATTCATAGGGTTTTCAAGGCCAATTTTTCGGAAGTGCGTGGCCAGGTCCTTCTTCCTAGTCTGTTGTAGTCTGGAAGCTCCACTGACCTGTCCACTATGGGTGACCCTGCTGGTGTTTGAGAGACCACTGGCATAGCTTTCAACATCGCAGCAACACGCAGCTGCCACAGTATGACAAGTGACAGATAGGTGGTGTGGTTCCCTGACTGGGAAACGAACCCAGGCAATGGCAGCGAATCCTAACCACGAGGCCACCAGGGCTGGCTAGGTAATTCCTCCATGGGCTTACACACAGAGCGTGTGGTAGGTGCTCAGTCAGTGATGGTGAAGGTGGGGACAAAGCTGCCACAAGCACCTGGGGGCAATCCTAGCCTCTGTGGCAGGAGTCAGGAAACTTTCACCTCTCATTCCTGGCCTCATGGGGGTGAGGGGTTGGGCTGGGGTGCAACAGCCAGAGGAGAGAAAGCCCGAGCAGGGGAAGGGCAGAGACCTCTAGTCATATGAGATGAAGCAAAAGGAATACTTCTGCGGCCCCAGACAAGAGCTCCTTTCCAGGAATTTGTAGCAAAGGCAGTCAATCACAAGATCCTGAAAAATGCACAAGTTCCAAGAGCATCTTTTGGATGAGACTGTCGACAGGCTGAGCTGTTTGGAAGAATCTTCTTATCTAAGCCATTGATGTAAGGAGAGAGTGAGACAGAGAGACCAGAAGATGGACAGACGGACGCGGACTGCGGTTTTTCTCAGCCCCTAGGAAGGAAAGTCAAGGTTGTCCCAAGAGTCATCAGCCCCGACCTAGTGCCGCCCATTCATGGCCCCCAGCGCATTATGTAGTGGGTAGTCTCCTCACTAGCTGGGCCATGTGCTCTCGCTGCAGGGCCGCTGGCTGGGGCTGGTGACGTGGTGGGAACACAGCGTCCATGCAGGATGGGCTGCCCAGGCTCGAGGTGGCTGTGGGGGGAGTTACTTTACGATCACAAGGGAGGAGGTAGATAATGAACCAGCAAATGGATTAGGCAACATCTTAAGTGCCACAAAGACAAACAGAAGCAAAAGCAAGGGACAGAGCTGGCGGAGGTGCAGGGGTCCCTGTCTGTAGCGTGGATAGGGAAGCAGGTGACCTTTGCAGAGACCTGAAGGAAGGCAAGCAAAGATCAGGAACCAGGAAATGTCAGAGAGGTGTGCAAGTAGGAGGAGAGTGGAGTTCAAAGGCCACGGGGCAAGGGGGGCCCTGGCAGTTGAGGAACAGTGCAAGTGAGTGTACCTGGAAGGGAAGGAGTGAGGGGAGCAGGGGGGCAGGAGGGCCAGATACCAGAGGAAGTGGGCTTGCGATGGCACATGGGTTTCCAGTCTCGGTGTCGTGAGGAGTCATGGGTTCTGACCACAGGGCAGCCGTGGGCTGGCTATTGTTTAAATGTCTACTCTGTCTAGTCACATGGGATGAATAGATACCGGTTGAAGAGGGAAATCCCACATTTAAGTACTAGTGCGTGCCAGACACGGGATACGGTGGTGGCAAGGGGCGATGAGGCCTCGCCCTCTGGGAACCAGCAGGCTAGCCCTTCCACCCGCCTGGGCCTGCCCCCGGTTTCACCACAGCGCTTGTCTCCTACCCCCGCCCCAGCATGGCTCCACATCCATCCTGCTCCCCTTCTCACTGCCCCGGCTGTTAATAGTGGTTGTAAACATGGGCTCTGAAGCCAGCTTGCCTGTCTTCAAAATCTGGCTCTGCCGTTTACTTGCTGTGTGACCTTAGGAAAACTACTTCCCCCTGCTGAGCCTCAGTTTCTTCATCCTGAAAATGAAGGTGATAGGAGAAGCTTCCTTTCAGGGTCTGGAGAGAATGAAATGAGCAGTACAGGGCTTGGAACAGAATGGAATGTTGTAGGCCTTGGTCCTCTTACATATTATTATTGTTACTGTTAAACCTCACTCCACCCTCCAGGGGATTCTCTTATTATTCACGTTTTGCAGATGAGGCAGCTGAGGCCCAAGTGGAAGCCAAAGGCCCACAGGTCTCCCCCGAGAGGAGGTTCCTGTTATCTGGAATACCCTCCCTTCCTCCATGCCCCCCTTTCCTCCTGGTCAACTAGTCATCTCAGCTTAAATGCCCCCTCCTCAGAAAAGTCTTTCCTGACTGGCCACTCAATTCTTACCCTCTGTCCCCACTGGTCTGTCTCATTGCTCTTAACACATGTTGTAATTGGAAATGTGTTTACCAGTGCCTTCTGCACTGGACTGTCGGCTCCAGTGGGGTTGGTCATGGTGGCTGAGATCCAGGCACCAAAGAGACAGTCAACGAATATTTATGAATGAATGATGGGTGGATGGATGAGCAAATGAATTAATGATTAAAATTGGGATTCTAGAACATGTGCTACATTCTGAGTGTTGCATCTGAGCAAGCTTCAAGTGGGAGGTGGCACCCACAGGGCTTCCCGGGGCCCTGCCACTTGCTGCCACTTGCAGCACCTTGCTTCTGGTGATGCAAAAGGGACTGCCTCATGTGACTTCAAAACATGATTTGGGGTCTTGGGGACCATGAAGCTCTACAGGCACAGAGGGCCCTTCCCACAGGAGCCTGTGCCTGCCCCCTTCCAGGGACCCAGTAGAGGACTAGCCCCCAGCCTGGAGAGGAGCGAGTTTGGGCCTTCCAGCCCCACAGCCTGAGTTCAGGCCTCAGCATCGCTTCTGGCCATCTGTGCCATCAGGACGACGTCCTGCGACTCTCCGAGTCTCAGCTTACTCCTCCGTGGGTGTGGAGCCATCAGCCGAGCAGTCCCCGAAGTCACTGTGAGGCAGGCAGTGTAGTAGCTGAGAGAGTGGGCTCTGGAGCCAGACTCCCCGGGTTCAAATCCCAGCCCTGCCTTTAGGAGCTGTATGAACTTAGGGAAGCTCTGAGACCTCTCTGAGCCTCAGTTATCTCATCAGTGACATGGGTGTATCAGTAGCTCTTCCCTAATAAGGTTGTTGGGAGAATTAATTGAGTTAATGCATGTGAAACATTTAGCATGGTCCCCGACACATAGTAAGGGTGCCTTTAAATTAGCATCATCGTCTCGTCATCATCAGTACTGGGAAAGCCCAGATTGTCTTTGTGATCTGTTTAGTACTGAGCTGCTATATGTATGTATGCACATACACACACACAAACACCCACACACACGTATGCACACACACACACATGCTATCTGGAGCTGGTCTGTTCAATACAGTAGCCCCGGCCATCAGTGGCTGTTGAGCACCTGAAGTCTGGCTGGACTGAGATGCTGTAATTGTAAAATAAATTGTAAAATAAACAGTCGATTTCAAAGACTTAGTATTTAAAAATGTAAAGTATCTCCTTAATGATATTTTTTGTATTACACATTGAAATGAAAATGTTTTGGATGTTAGGTTAAGTAGAATGTATTATTAAATTAAGCCCACATATTTCTCTTCACATTTTAAAGTAATGGCTCCTTGAGTGCTGGTCTAGGAAGCAGTAACAGGAAGAGAAGGACAAGAAGAGAAGGTGGAAGTGATGGTGTGTGACTTTGGAGACTAAAGGCATCGTGGCCTCCTCCTCGTTTGCTCTCTTCAGCCTCTTGTTTTGAGGGAAGCTGGTTGACATGTCGTGAAAGGCGGGCTGGTGGCAGGTCCACTGGGGAAAACATTCTGTTCCCATGAGCGCATCGCAGTGGGTCCTGTGTACAGCCGGGGAGGATGGCGCGAAGCTCTGGCTGCATTATGTTATGATTATCACTGCTTCAGCATTCCCACGAGCACTGGAGGAGAAACAGTCAAATCACATCAGGATCTGCCCACAAGTTGCCAAATACAATTAGTGCAGAGACTGGGATGGGTGAGCAATTTGAGCTTTCTCCTTTGCCTAAAAACTTAGAAATGCCTGAATGCCCCCCTCAGGGGGTTACGAGGTGGGAGAAATTCTGATGATAGAATCCAGTTCATTACTAAATGAACAAATATTTGTTAGCCACTTCTTGTGTGATCAACACTGCCCTAGGTGCTAAAGAAACAGCAGGGAACAACACAGATAAAGAGCAGTCTCCTTCTAGAAGCTCATCTTCTAGAGGGGTGATGGGTCAGTAAGCTCAGAGAGTGACAGTGCTATGGAGAAAATAAAGCCGAGTGATGGGTCATACTGTGGAATACTACACAGCAATGAAAAAGAACTACTGCTACATGCACCACCATGGGGAAGCTCACAGACATGCTATGGGGTGAATAAAAGCCAGGCACATAATAGAATATACTGTGTGGTTACATTTATCTAAAGTTCAAGAATAGGCAAAACTAAGCTATAGGAATAGAGATGAAAATAGTGGTTACTTTGGGGAGGAAGTCTGATCAAGAAGGGGCCAAGGGAGCCTGCAGGTGCTAGAACTGTTTGCATCTTGATCTAGGTGGTGGCTACACAGGTGTCTACTTAGGGAAATACATTCAGCTGTACACTTGATAGGAGCGTACAGCTCGAGGCAAGTGTGTTGTATTATCTACTGCTGCCTAACAAGTTGCCGCAGAACGTAGCAGCTTAAAACAATAAGTGTTATTGTCTCCCGTGGTCCCTCGGGGTCGGGAACTGACTGAGCTGGGTGCTGCTGCCTCAGTGTCTCTCCTGAGGTTGCAGTCAAGACGTTGGCCGGGGCTGCACCATCTGAAGGCTGACAGGGGCTGGAGGGCTGCTTGCAAGGTGGCTCCTCACATTTGCCTGGAAGGTGGTGCTGGTTGCTGACAGGAGGGCACAGTTCCTTGCCATGTGGACTTCTCCATGGGGCTGCTTGCACGTCCTCATGACCTGTCACCCGGCTTCTCTGGAAACAAGAGACTGAAGAGAGCAAACAGAGGAGGCGGCCACGACGCCCTTTATGACCTAGTCTCCGAAGTCACACACCATTTCTTCCACCGTATTCCACCATTAGAATCAAGTCACTAGGTCCGGCCCACGCTCGAGGGGAGGAGAATGAAGCTTCATTCCTTAAAGGCAGTAGAAGCAAAGAATTCGTGGGCATGTTTTTAAACCACCACACATTATATCTTAATTTTGAAGTAATTTTTTTTCATATTTCAAGAAAGTAAGATGATGTGATAGAAAATAATGGGTTTTAGGCAGTGTGCTCACTGTGGTTTTGGGGGAGGTAACATTTGAGCCAAGCTCTGAACAGGAAGAATCAGCCGCATGAAGAGCAGGGGAAAGCATCGAAGGCAGAAGGAACAGCAAGTGCAAATGCTTTGCTGTGACGAGTTGCTGGAGATTCAGAGAGAAGACCTGTATCGCCAGAAGGTGATGGACGAGAGCAAGGGAGGGGCAGTTGAAGGTGGCGGGCTAGGTGGAGGCCGTGGAGGCTGCAGGAAGCAGTGTGGATTTCATGAATCTGAAGATGACTAGAAGCCATTTGGAGGGATTTTTGCAAGCGAGAGATCTCCTCTGATGAACATTTTGAGCAGCGTGCTCTGGATGCAGGAGTGCGAGTGGGAATAAGGGACGGGTTCCGAGGCCCTCACTGGAGGAAAGGCAGCGTTGGCTTGGATTAGGCGGTCATAGGGACAAGTGGACAAGTCTCTGGCTCTGCCTCTGGGATCTCATGTGCTTAGATCTTTCCAGGGTTCCAGCCTCAGGCGATCTGCTCCCAGGTCACCCAGGAAACAGTGGAAAGATACCCAGTTGTCCTTGCAGAGAGAGAGATCTTTCCTGCCCTGCAGAAGATCAGCTTCGCCCATCAGCAGAGCTCTGTGTCATCCCACAGGGCCCTCCTTCGGTGGGTCAGTCCTGCCTGGGCTATTTTTACCCATCTCATGGGACCTGCATGCTCCTCTTCCCAGATAAAATGCCCTCCTTTCAAACAAAGGGTGTTTTAATCCTGGAGAAGCTCTTGATGGTTGCCACTGGCATTTGACTTTAGTGTGACAAAATGAAATCCCTATGTTTTTCGAGAGAGACAGGCCTGGCCAGAAGCCATGAGGAGGACGCTGCTGCCTGCTGGGCCCGCTGGGGCAGGGGTGGGTGCGGAGGCCCCCCTGATGAAAGAAGACATTGACCATTCTTCCATCCGAGGCCACGCACCTTTCTCTCTGGACGGCCCATTTGTACTTGCTTTTGGTTTTGAACTTTCTGGAGAGAGAAGCAGCAGGATATAGTCTAAATGCTTCATCAGAATCCAAAAATTTTCCTGCTTTTTTTAAAAAATGGGTATTACTTTTGTTTTTTTTTGTGGGTTTTTTTTTTTTCCTGAGGAAGATTCGCCTGAGCTCACATCTGTGCCAGTATTCCTCTATTTTGTATATGGGATGCCACCACAGGATGGCTTGATGAGTGGTGTGTAGGTCTACACCCAGGATATGAATCCATGAACCCCAGGCTGCTGAAGTGGAGCACATGAGCTTAACCACTACACCACCAGGCCACCCCCAAAATTTTTCTGTTTTTGAGGAGGAACACCCTTCAGGATAGGATAGTTCAAAAGCGACGTTTGTACACTGTAGTTTGGACTAGAATTTTTTTTTTTTTTAAAGATTGGCACCTGAGCTAACAACTGTTGCCAATCTTTTTTTTTTCTTCTCCCCAAAACCTCCCAGTACATAGTTGTATGTTCTAGTTGTGAGTGCCCCTGGTTGTGCTACGTGGGATGCCACCTCAGCATGGCTTGATGAGCGGTGCCATGTCCACGCCCAGGATCCGAAATGGTGAAACCCCAGGCCACCAAGTGGAGCACGTGAACTTAACCACTCAGCCTTGGGGCCGGCCCCTGGACTTGAATTTCTAAGTAAGCTGTTGACAGCTTGCAAACGCCTAAATCCTGGCCTTCTAGTCCTTTCCAACAAATCCCCAGTTCCTTTCATTCTTGCAGAGATGGATCTTGTGAATTCATATCTTGGCAGCGCACTCAGGCTGCAAAGACTTACTTAGTACCTATTTGACTCCAAACTGGAAATGCATCTGGAGAATTCGAGCCCATAAATATTGAGCACACTGACTTTGCCCATCCCCTGATGACTCCCTGCGTAGGCGGCACTTCCTCGTGTTTCTCCAGGTGGTTGAGGAACATTGCACCGGGACCAGGAGTCCCGTGTTCTGCCCAGACAGCGTTACTTGTGTGGTCTTGGGCGCCGCACTTCACCTCCCAGGGCTTTCAGGGGGACTAAGGCTTACACCCCATGACCTCTGGGTTCCTCTGTTGTTCTGACTTTGGGAATGGCTTCATATCGCATCAGCTACCAAGATGAACGGTAACAGGCCAGCCAAGCAGGGGCTCAGAGGAAATGGCCGGGCTCAGAGAGGTCCCTGGGCAAATATCTGAGAGGTGAAAATACCCACCCATCCAATGAAGAGGAATCTTTGTGATGTCTTGCTAACCACTCGCATTCATCATCGGGTGCTTTCCGGCTCACCGTGCCACTTGATCATGCAAGGAACATTAAGAATTTGAGGATGTGCCCTGATTTAGATCATGCCCCTGCCCGTATGAGGTAAGGTTTGTAGAGTTTCCTGTTTCCAGACCATAGGCTGTGTGCTCCTGAATACCAGGTGGGTCACAAGGCACCTAGCCCAGGAGACAAGTGAGGCTGATGTCGAAATCAGCACTGGGCCCGAGGTCATCCTGCCTCAGAGAGGCGTCTGGGATCGGATGGTGGCCTGAAGAGGAATGAGGTGGCTGTGGAGCAGAGGTTAAGAGCACAGGTTCAGAGACAGCCTGAAGCAAATCATGCCACCTAGTAGTTACGTGACCTGGAACAAGCTATTTGAGTTTGTTTCCCATCTGTAAAATAGGGTAACCTTAGTACCTAACTCATGGGTTGATACAAAAATTAAGCCAAATATTAGAACACCTAGCACGGTACTGGCATGTAGTCGGTGATCAATAAAAAATTAGCTGTTATTCTGTGCTGGAGGTGAGGTGTGCTATTACTCACGCTTCTCCTCCCAAAAGGTTTCTTCTAACCAAGACGATGTTGGAGGCAGACTATTTTTTTTTAGGAAGATTAGCCCTGAGCTAACCACTGCCAATCCTCCTCTTTTTGCTGAGGAAGACTGGCCCTGAGCTAACATCCATGTCCGTCTTCCTCTACTTTATATGTGGGACGCCTACCACAGCATGGCTTGCCACGCGGTGCCATATTCGCACCCGGGATCCGAACCAGCAAACCCTGGGCCACTGAAGTGGAACGTGCAAACTTAACCACTGTGCCACCGGGCCGGCCCCCAGGCTTTTTTTTTTTTATCAACAGGGATCCCACACCTTCATTCTACAGGGTATCCTAATGTTTTTGTCTAAATCCACAGTGGAGTCCAGAATGTTGGAGGAGGGCTGGCTTCCAGCTCACCGTCTTCTTAGAGATTCAGAGAACCCCAAAGCAAGGACACAAGAGCATGTGACCCTCCCATGCAATAGCCCCACGCCCGGTAAATGTGGTCCAGTGGATATGAGGCTCTCACAATCACACTGCCAATCAGATAGGACGGTCTTCCCCACGGGAAGTGTCCTCACCCCAAACCCCCAGCACTTCTTTGACAAGATGAAAGGTTTGACAGACGTTCTTGTGCTATGAGCCCTGGTGGACATATGGGGAGTGAGGAAGGGGCTGTATACGGGGAGTTCCCTTTTAGGTGGGAGTCCTATGCGTTTCTCAGAGGACCACCCTCCTCTGTACATGGCCATGAAGCAGGAACATGGTGATCACATCTGTCCTCCTCTAGGCTGACGTTAAGGTGCACATGCGTGGGAACCATACCCAGTCAAACTGAGCACCAGCATCTGGAAAAAGCTCTCTGCTCCCTCAGCCTGCTGGGCTCTTCACTTCTGTCCAGGCGGGATTAATTTCTCTCTCTGCTGCAAGCAGCTCTGAGGCTTTTTCAGAGGGAAACGTCAAGTGTAGACACCTGGTTGGCAGAGAGGCCCTTCGCGGTTGTTGGTGCAGAAATGTGGCTCTGGGTGGATCAGGGCTGGGAAGACATGGAGCTCCTACTAGCCGTTAGGATTGGTAGGGCAGTGGGAACGCGGGACGGTGTTGACTACATCCAGAAGCAAGGTATTTTGGAGTTTACCATGCTCTGAGCCAGGCCCAGAGCAGTGAGCAGGCGATTCTTTGGTAGCAAATGTCCCAGGGTGGCCAGCAGGGGTATCTATCAAGGCCATGTCAGGTGAGATTGGGAGATGGTGGCAGCGTGACCAGGCTTCTTGCCTATGGAAATCCCACCCATACTTCTGGGCTTAGTTGAAATGCTGCCTCTTCTCCATGAATCCGCCCTTGATTTCCTCCTGCTGGGTCTGAACCTGGCTTCTTCTGACACCCTAGTGCCTTGCTGGTTCCACTCCTGGGCCTTGTGTTATAGTTGTTTGTGGAACTGTGTGATCAGCATCGTGGAAGGGGGACCCTAACTTGGGTTTGAATCAGATTCAGCCACATTTTAACTGTGACATTGGGTTGGACACACGGCTTAACCTTTCTGAGCCTTCAGTCTCTCATCTGTAAAATAAGAGTAATATTCACTTTACCAAGTTGTTTGAAAAATTGAATGTAGGGCATGCATAACACTTGACATACACTAGACATCTAATAAATGGTAGATTTTTTTTTTGTAGACTGTAAGCTCTTAAATAAAAAAATAGGATCTTATTCATCTTTTTATCCCCAGCACCTGGCACAGTGCCTGGGACATAAGTAGGTACTCAGTAAATGTTTATTTGAGTCAAATGAATTACTTTTAGCACAAGCAGATACTTCTCACAATTTCCTGTGTCCTATTTATTATTCCCGAAATAACTTTAGCCTGTGTTTTGACTTCTGTCGCCTTTTAATGAAAGAGCTGGAGAAGACATTCAACATCCAAAATGGGGACAGGGTGCCCGATGCGATGCAAGAGCTCCTTGGAAATCTTCTGGTTATTTCCTGCCTAGATCTGATTGATGCTGTCAGGACAGGCTGGCTTTGATGATCCATCAAATATGGTTTTTTTTCTTCCAGATTCTTAGAATTTGCACCAGGTATACCCCAGAACAAGACACCATGACTTTTTCAGATGGCCTTACCCTAAATCGAACTCAGATGCACAATGCTGGATTTGGTCCTCTGACTGACCTTGTGTTCACCTTTGCCAACCAGCTCCTGCCTTTGGAAATGGATGACACAGAAACAGGCCTTCTCAGTGCCATCTGCTTAATCTGTGGAGGTACCAACTACCTAGAGAACCCTCATAAGATTCCATGAAGAACAACTTATACTTGTAATTTATGGGAAATTCCTCGTCTCCATTTTGGAGTTATTTTGCATGGAAAAAGACATGTGAATAAAGCCAGGCATGCATGCTTGGAGTTTGTTGCATTTTTCCATATTGTTATAAATTAAAGGTATTTGGGATCCATCTGCTCTGAAATACCAAAATGCTACATATCCAGTTGTCACAGGTATTTTTTTTAAGGTGGGATCAGGCTATTGTGAAATAAATTGCCTAGGGACGTTTTCATGGTTATCCAAGGGACTTGCTTGTGCTGTTTGCTAATTTGGTGGCTGGGAATACAAACTGTGTTGGCCCCCCTACAATCCTTGGACGACTGGGATAAAATATGGCTTTCTTCTTCGTAGTGATCCCTCCTGGCTCGAAGGAGGCTGAGTCATAAGTGGTTAAAAAGTAAAGGCTTTAATTAGGGGGTCAGTTTACCTTGCTTTTATAACTATCCGGCTCAAGCTTTGTTTTAATTCAGTTCAGTAGTGACACCTTCTGGTCATGAGAAGTAATTCTTTCCCTGGGACAAAAGCACCCAGCCATCAAGATGTGTTTTCAACCAAGAAGAGGGACAATTTTCAAGTACCACTGCTTAAAATAGTTGCATATATCTTCAAATTTGCATGTGATTGAAACATCGTATTAATAAAGTCAGAAGATAGTAGGAACAAGGAAACAAGGAAGAGGGGAAGTGGGCAGAAACCCTCTCTCCTGGAAAGTGCGTAACTGTCCTGATACTAATTGTTTAATACTTTATTCCTGGTATCTAGACCGCCAGGATCTTGAGGAACCAACAAAAGTAGATAAGCTACAAGAACCATTGCTGGAAGCACTAAAAATTTATATCAGAAAGAGACGACCCAGCAAGCCTCACATGTTTCCAAAGATCTTAATGAAAATCACAGATCTCCGCAGCATCAGCGCTAAAGGTAATTCTCTCGAGTCCACACTGTATTCA